TGACTCCAATCGAATCTGGATCACTAAAGTTGATCTGGTTTTATTTCATGGAGGACCTACTGTGTGCTAGCCATTAGCACAAGCACATAAAATCATCTTACTTGCTAATGTCTAACCACGTCCTCTCGTGTATAACATCACAAACCTAACCCTTTCCTAGAAGCCTATGGGGAGAACAACATTCCTATTTTACAGCTGAGGGCATGGAATAGATTCAGGTGGGTTTGTAACTTGTCCAGGCTCAACCAGCCTCTGAAAAGCAGAATCAAAAAATCAAATCCACATTGGTTGACTTTAAAGGCAAAGATAGTTTGCCTCTTGTCTTCCAGAAACACCCGAAGTGATGCTCTCCACTCATTAGCTTTTGCCTGTTGCCACTCTCTGGCTACAAGTTAGAGCATCTGGAACTATCACTTCCATCTTGAAAATGAGAGAGGGCTCAGATTCCTGCTCATCTGTATGCTTCCAGTCTAGGGATAACAGTTAGTAACTTTCCCACAGTCTCACACACCTAAGGGAGTCAACTTGCCACCGGGAAGAGCCCCTTCTTTTGGTAGGCAAGAGCTGGCAAAGCAGAGACTATAATTCCTCACTGCCCTTCTGCCCCTCAGTTCCACTCTCAGAGGGACAGGACTAGCCAATAAAGAGGATAACTAAATTCACTTTAGGCTATTTATGGTGCACTCAAGTCTATCTATCTTCTCAGTGAATTGCCTGGGTTCTTTTATTTCTTCTCCTCTACCTTTCCCCTTGCTCCTATGCTCTCGCCAACAGGCAGCCAGGGGAAATAGAAGGCAGAAAAGGCAGATACCCTGGTGGGGAAAATGTTACAGCTCTGGTTAGTACAAACATGTAGTGTACTGGAGGACGCGGAATTGGGAGAAGGTCTCTGTATTTCAAATACACAACCACGTTTTCCCAAGCTGAGTAACAGTCTCTAATCTTCTTTCGCTCTTCCTACATCCTGCACTGCACGTACAGTAAGGGGCTAATAGAGACTCCTGGGTGGATAACGGATGCCATGTGGCACTTGCAGAGACTCCTGTACAAGACTGTATCCCAGCCGGCATCTGCTAACGATCCATCCCTACACACATCTGAGCTGCTAATGTCTCTGGTTTCTTTGTCACCTAGATGTCTAACAAGCTCAAATGGTCACTCAGATTATTTCAGCACTACGGTTGACACCAGTATTGACTGTGATGAGACTTATTTTCTCACTTAAGAAAAAAAATTATGCATTCGAGACTAGAGTTGGGATGGCCAGAATTTCGTTCTAGAAGCTTGTTTGTCACAGGCAGGGCTGGGGTAGACTCAGGCTGGCTCTAGCTAGGCGTAGAGGAAGTAGATTTCAATGGTGTGAGAAAATGGCAGGAGGATCTGCTAGGCAGGGAGAAAAAGAATCCTGCACGGAGTGGGATTGTCAGGCACAGTGACCCCAGCAGAAGCAATTTCCTTACCGTTCGCTTTGGGGGCGCCTGCCCTCTCTGAGGAGGCTCTCTGCCTGTTGACCTTTGGTGACCTCAGAATTTGCTGGCAGTCATTGGGGACCAGGGATCATCTTTTCAGAAATCTCCTTGGCATCATTCTGCAACTTATCTTGCACGCCTCATCACAATTATTCATGCTTTGGCAGTAGCCTAGCTAGTCACACTACTTGTCGTGGGCTGATCCTGAAGGTTACTCTGTCCCAGCTGATGGAGAAGAAAGGCACCCCTCCCTCGGAACCCTGACTGCCCGTGAGGGCAAGGGTTCAGAGCTATCTGCTCAGAAAAGCCATGCTCAACCCAGTCCTTGTGAGCAGGCTAACACAAAGTGGCAATCCAGAATCGGTGCTCAAATCAGACTTCGTCTCTGAAACATTGCCATGCACACTCACTGTACACTTGGGACATGCATTCACACTGATGCAAAGGCTCAACCTGCCAGCTGCCTCCTGCTACTTAAAGGCCCAATCTTTTACCTCTCCATTACCAATGGCAAATATTTTCTTTTACTTTTTTTTTTTTTTTTGCCTTTAACATCCTGCTTCTATTCTGTAGACTCAGCTTCCTTCTTTGTATATTTTAGATTACTTTAGAAATGACCTCACATCCTGACCAATGGCACAGTAGCTGCTAATTGCTAGAACTTTGCTAATGGACTGTACATTTATGCATGAGGGAATGGGTTACAAGCAGCAAATGCCCAAAGGTAATAAATATACTACCACGGGTTAAAGCTAGGACTCTGTAGGATATATAGACTTGGGTTTAATCTCAGACTATTTATGAGGCTTAAGGGACTTTACTTGACCTCTCTGAGCCTCTCTTATTTACCTGAATGGAGGAGACCCTAACAGCACTTACAAGGTTACTGTTAAAATTAATATAACGTAATGCCTATAAAGTGACTTAGCACAACGGAAGCTATTATTGTGGATTCAAATTTTTGGACTCACTTTCCCCTTCGTGTGCTTGTGTGGCTGAGATCCCGCCTAGCTGCTGTGTTCCACCCACCTACCTATCTTCTGTGACAAGTCATTGCCAATTAAAGACACATTCTTGATTGAGCAGGAGGGACACAATGATGGATCCACATCTGTCTGTGGACCTTTCATGTTTTCATGTGGATGTTTACATTTGCCCTAACCTTCTCCACAATCAAGAAGCCTAACTTTTCAGAAGCATCAGGGAGAATGCAGCCAGACAGCAGAATAAAATCCACAGCACACGGCTAGACTTCAGAATAAAGCCTGGAGCCCACCTCCTAAGGTGACTTTAGCTGTCTTGGGTCTGTAAACCCTGCTACATCGTCACAGCACCAGAAGGAAGCCCACCTAGGCAGGAAGCATCAACAAGGCCCCTCCATTTGCTCCCAATCTTCTCTGACTGCCAAGACATTCATCCATACGCCAGTTATTTTCCACACTATAGTATTTTTTGTGTGTGTGCCAGTCCTGGGACTTGAATTCAAGGCCTGGAAGCTGTCCCTGAAATTATTTTGCTCAAAACTAGCACTCTATTACTTGAGCCACTGCTCTACTTCTAGATTTGTGTGTGTGTGTGTGTGTGTGTGTGTGTGTGTGTGTGTGTGTGTGTGTTTAATTAGAGATAAGAAATTGGTGGACTTTCCTGCTGGGGCTGATGTGGAACCTCAATTCTCAGATCTCAGACTCCTGAGTAGGTAGGATTATAGGCATGAACCACTGATGCATAGCTTATCATATTTGTTAGAGTCTCTTATTCTAAAGCTCTATCCCACCACTTCCTTCCATGGCTCCAATCTACCCTGGCATCGTGTCCCCTCTTAGGGCTCTGTTCTCTCTACCTGGCCTTCGCCCATATAGAACTTCTGAATTTGCTCCATCCTTTGCATCTCTCCTCACAGACTGCCTATGAAGCCCACCAGGTTTTGAACTTGAACTGTTGAGATGCTCATGTAGAACTTTTCAGATCCCCACCTGTGTGTGAATATTCCCCACACTGTTCTACAACAGCATTTCTGCTTCTATGGGGAACCAGCAGCGCCTTGTGTACAAGGATCATCTGTTTAAACTGAAAACCCTGTCATTTGTTATGGCAGATTTATTTATGAGCCTGCATGCTATAACCCTGTGGCATAAATATTAAATAACAATATCCCTTAGGCCAAAAAGAAATCATTCATGTTAACTGACAACTTCTTATGAAAATATGAAGTAAACTCAGCCACAAAATTTAATATTGGCTAATTCTGAAACACAAGTCAAAGCAGGATTGCTCAACAGGTAGATCTAAAAACAGCAGAATTACAATGTGCATTTTTACATTTATTTTTTTGCTTCAAGAAATAAAACATCCAAGCGGTAAAGAGTGTTTAAAACAACAACACTTGGGTTGAGTGGCAAATTTGTTCAGAATTCAATTCAAATTCCTGCCAGTATCTCCTAAAGCAGCTTTTGGCTTCTCTGAAGAAAAGATTCCAAAGAATGCCAATGACACATAAATGAAAAGAATTCTGGACAATGACACTGCTCATTTTTTTTTTTTTTTAGCATTCTGTGAATTTCCTATTACATCAGTTTCATGATTCAGCAATTTCCATTTCATATATTTACAGTAATATTTAGTGAGATAACCCCAAGGTTTCCTCGGGGTCCTGGAACAGAAGGTAGGCTGGGCTGTGAGGGTGTTCCTGGTGTAAATTTGCTATGGTACATTTAAGGCAATGGAAAACCAGCAGAGAAGCGAGCCATCAAAGAATCTGAGAAATACCCCCCCACACACACACACCTCCTCCTGAGGGTCTCAGTTACTCTGGTATTTAAAAATGAGTCGGTTCTCTTAAGAAAATAAGTTCTTGCGTGTGTCTGAGGAGTAAACCAGCAGCCAGGAAGTGTGCAAACACAGCCCAGCACAAGTCTTTGAAAAGACACCGTTCGAGTCGCCGCTCGGGCGCGGAGCGGGGACCGGGAAAACTAGGTTTCTCTTGGCATCTGCAACTTGGCTGGAGTGACCCAAGGAGGAGTGGAAGAGTTCTGGGAGCGGGAGGCGCGTGGGCACCAAACCGTCCCGGCCAGGAGGACCTCGTGGAAGGAAACTAAGGGTGGAAGGGAGTGGGTGGCAGAGACCAAGTTGGGCACCAGAAGGAAAGGAGCTTGGAGCAGAAGAGAGGGGAGGGAAGGAGGGACGGAGGGAGGGTCTGGAGAGCCGCGGGGCAGGGAGTGATCGCGGGGCGGCGAAGCCCCCCGCCCCCCGGAGGGAGTGGGGGACCCGAAGGGGTCTCCTGGGGGCCCGGACAGGGTCGACGGGGAGTCTGGGAGGGTGCGGCATGGACGCGAGGGAGTAGCCCGCAAGTCCGGTCCACGCGCCCCACTTTGCGCCTCGGGCTCCCAGCGCCGGTGCCCGGAGCGCCCGCAGCGGGGGAGGAGAGAAGAACTAGCCTCGCGCTCCCCGCCTCCGGGGGCGAAGGTTCCCGCCGTCCCCCCGCCCCGTCCCCACCACCGCGTCCCCAGGACCCGAGCCGGGTCCGGCGCTCACCAGGTAGCAGAGCAGGAGCAGTGCGCCGGCAGGGTGACCGCCGAGCCCCGGGGGGACCCGGGCGCCCCGGGGAACCATCGCTGCGGCCCGGGGACCCAGAGCGGCCGGCGGGGGTTGGTGCTGCTGCTGCTGCCGCCGCGGCCACCGGAGCCACCCGAGCCCCGCGCCGCGCCGCTGCATGGCCAGGCCTCGGGGATCCCGGCCGGAACGGGTCACCTGGTGCAGGGACCGGCCCCCGCCCGAGGCGCCACCTTCCCGCCCGCCCCCGGCCGGGCCGGCGCGCGCGCGGGGCCACCTGCCACCACCGCCACCGCCACCACCGCCACCGGACCCGCCACCGCCGCCACCGCCGCTCCCGCCGCGCCGCCCCCGCGCCCCGCCGAGCGCCGGCTCCTCCCCGCTCCGTCCCGTCCCCTCCCTCCCTCCCTCCCTCCCTCCGCCCGCCGCCCGGCTGCTCCCTCCCCACCCACCCCGCTCCCCACCCCAGGGCAGCGGGCGCCCGCGCAGGTGGGGACCGACCAGGGTCCCGCCTCCCCCGCCCCCCCCCCCGGCCCGCTCCACTCCGGCCCGCCCTCCCGTGCCCTCCCTTCCCTCCCCCGGCACCCCTCCGCGCCCCCGCCCGCCCCACCTCCCTCCTCTCCCCAGCGTCCCTCCTTCCCGCGCTCTCTCTTCTGGCCGGTCCTGACCCCCCCCTTTCCCCGCCCTCCCCCACTTTCTCCCCAACTCCCCTCCCCCTCTTGCTGTTCCCACACCCCGATCTCCCCCCCCACCCCCATCCTCCCTTGCCCGCCGCGCGACCCAGTTCCCGCCGGTGCAAGGGGTTTTGTTTGTTCGGTTTGGGCTGGGGCGCCATTCCCACAGGGCGAGTGTGCCCCCTGGAGTTGTGCCACGCGTCACACACACACACACATACAGTCCTGAGGGATGGATTTTGACCCCGGCCTCCCTCCACCTGTCCACCTGCAGGGCTGGGGCGGCGCGGCCGCCCGCGGTGTCTCAGCCCCACCCAGCCGGCGGGCTGGCCACGCGCGGCTCCGGAGGTTTCCGGAGGGCTTTTGTGCGGTGCCACCACCGCCGTCGCCGCACTCTTTGTTTTAATTGCCCTGAGTATTGGCGCCCAGCGCGGGTTTGTATTTGATTTGCATCCCTGGGCTCCGGCTTCCACTTTGGAGTGGAAAGAAAAACGAATTAATTAGGCCAGTCCCACTCTGCTCCAGCCCCAAAAGAAAGAGGGGCGAGGCCCTTGAAGTGCGCCAACAGCTTTAGAAATCAGGACACATCCTCCCCGGCCCGGGGAACGTGGGTTGGCACTGGCTGGTCGCCCATCTGGGTTCTGGGGACCATGGGACGGCAAGGCCACCAGCTCCAGGTAGCGCTTGGCTGGGGCTCTGCTCTGGGGCCCAAGGGCTGTTGCTCCGAAACAGTTAATCCACCTCCGAAAGTTCTCCGCAGCTTCCCCCTTGGCACTGGTGGATTTGTGCGGATTGGAACTAATAATAGATTGGAAGTCTGAGAGGACACAGCCCTTTCCCCCCCGTGGAGAGGTGCCTTTGCTGGGGTCAAGTCGCAACAGGCCTAGGGAGAAGCTTGGTGGAGGCCTGGTGGGTCCTGGGTTGGTCAGCCCCGCCCCCTTGGGCCTGGGCCTGCACCTGCCCTTGGCGCAGGCCTGGCCCTACTGGGGCTGTCAGCTGGAAGCTGAGTCATCCCTAACTCTTTTTTAGGTCACCCAAGAGCCACGGCCCTGGGCGAGGCCCCTGCCCCAGCCGGCACTGACTCCCAAGGTTCTCAAGCAACTTGGTGGGAAGCCACGGGAGGGATTGCTAGAGCAGCGGTGGAGCCAGTCCTGGAGTTTCTGTTTCACGGACTGGGTCCTCACAGGCTCTCAGGTAGCACTGACCTGGACCAGAGGCCCTGCTTTCAGACCCATTGGTCCTGCTCTCTATGAGCCAGCTGCCACCACACTGAGGCATGCATGCGAGGGGTATGAGAAATGTTGCCACTGTCCCTGTCCCAGTTCTACAAAAACAAAACACTTAAAATTCTCCTGTTGGATGCAGAAAACGATTTATTCTATTGGGTGTGCAGGGGAACAAAAGATGGGGTGGCTTTGTCCCAGTTCCTGCCTGTATTTTTTCCATCAGGCCAAATACAGGCTCTGCTTGCCCCCTACCTTCTTCTGAAATCCTTTCCTTTTTCCTTTTATTTTATTTTTATTTTATTTTATTTTTTTATCTTTTTTGCCAGTCCTGGGGCTTGACCTCAAGGACTGGGCATTGTCCCTGAGCTTCTTTTGCTCGTTAGCATTCTGCCACTTGAGCCACAGTGCCACTTCTGACTTTTTCTGTTTATGTGGTACTGAGGACTCAAACCCAGCACTGTACCACTAAGCCACATTCCCAGCCTGCTTGCTTGCTTGCTTGCTTGCTTCCTTCCTTCCTTCCTTCCTTGCTTGCTTGCTTGCTTCCTTTCTTCCTTCCTTCCTTCCTTCCTTCCTTCCTTTTGTTCTTTCATTCTTTTGTTCTTTCTTTCTTTTTGACAGGGTCTTGCTATCTATGTATGTGGCCCAGATTGGCCTCACACTCATAATCCTCCTACTTCAGCTCCCAAGTGCTCAGATTACAGGACTGAACCACCATACCTGTTCAGATTATAGTTTTGATGCATGTACAAGGAAAATTGTTGGCTGTTTCAAGAGGAGGGGGCTTTAGTATGCATAAAAGATTTTCTGGGATTCTCCCTGTTTTCCTGGGCCTTTGTGCAGACTTTCTCCTTTCTTGGTCCAGTCACACTCTAACTCCAGGGAACAGAATGGTTCTCGTAGCTTGCCTTAATGGGAACTTGGGGGTATATCACGAGTCAGAGGGCTTGGGGTGTATTTACCTGGGAACTCTATGTCCAACTGCTTGCTTATATTTTCAGCCACATGCCTGAAGTGGGCAGGGGACCCAGAGGTTGGCAGGACCATCCATGTCTGCCAGGAGCAACAGGCATGCAGAAAGAAAACACCGCAGTGCAGTTTGGGATGCTTCTTTCTCTGCCAGTGCAGCTGGAGGTGGGGGTGAATCCAATACCAAGAGGGACAGAGGCATCAAGGCTTGCTTTCACAGGGAGGTGTGACATTTTTGGTCTAGAGGATAGTGTTCATTCTTACCACAGCCTCCTATCTAGAGGATTATTCAAAGGGTGTAGTAGTTTGTTTTCAGAAGACCCTTTATGTAAAAAATAAATATCTATTTCCCATTGAAAGTCCTGAAATCCCATCACTGCGATTCATTGGTATGAATTAAGTTTTTATACTCTGCTAAAATCCAAAGGCACCCCTTGGGGAGACTGCATGGATCTTGCCTCTCTAGGGACTGTGTTAGCATGAGTCAGTTTATCACATTCCCTTTAAGGAGAGACTAGAAGAAGAAAGTAACTCCACACACAACACAGAAAGGGACCAAGACCAACTAGGCTAGGGAGCCTGGGAGAAGGAGCTGCTAGACACCTGAGCAGAGAGGAGGACAAAGGTCATGCCTCACTGAATGCCCAACTGCCTCTCTGAGCGCTGCATGGCACCTAGCTATCCTCAGGGCGCCCAGTTGTTCTCAGACTCTGAGATAGCTAAGATCAACAAAAAGAAATGTGGTGGGCTAGGAACGTGGCTTAGTGGTAGAGTACTTGTCTAGCATGCATGAAGCCCTGGGTTCAATTCCTCAGTACCACATACACAGAAAAAGCTGGAAGTGGTGCTGTGACTCAAGTGGTAGAGTGGTAGTCCTGAGCAAAAGAAGCTCGAGGACAGTGCCCAGGCCTTGATTTCAAGCCCCAGGACTGGAAGAAAGAAAGAGAAAGAAAAAGGAAGAAGGAAGGAAGGAAGAGAGGGGAGGGAAGAAGAGAGGGGAGGGAGGAAGGGAGGGAAGGGAAGAAGGGAAGGAAGGGAAGAAGGGAGGGAAGGAAGGAAGGAAGGAAAGAAGGAAGGAGGCAACAATACAGTTGTTCTATTAACTTGCCAAGTAGAAATACTTCTGAAAAAAACTAAAAATATACTGTCTTTAATCATTATTTTATTAAAAAGAGAATGCTTTTTTTTTGGGGGGGGGGGGTCCGGTTGTGGGGCCTGAACTCTGGGCCTGGGCGCTGTCCCTCAGCTCTTCAGCTCAAGGCTAGCGCTCTACCACTTGAGCCACAGCGCCACTTCCGGCTTTTTTCTTTTTTGCTTATGTGGTGCTGAGGAATCGAACCCAGGGCCTCGAGCATGCAAGGCAAGCACTCTACCACTGAGCCACCTTCCCAGCCCCGAGAATGCATTTTTTTATGATCAGAAAGTCAGGAAAGTTGGGTGCCAGTGACTCATGCCTGTAATCCTAGCTATTCAGTGGCTGAGATTTGAGAATCACAGTTCAAAGCCAGCCTAAGCAGGAATACCTGTGAGACTCTTATCTCCAACTAGCCACAAAAAGCTGCCAGTGAACTGTGACTCAGGTGGTAGAGCACTAGCCTTGAGTATAAAAGGTCAGAGACAGTACCAGGCTATGACTTCAACCTGAGGACAGGCAAAAAAAAATCTTAAATGGTCAGGAAAGAAAGATGGCACATGCCTGTAAGCCAAGACTTTGGCTAGAGAATCAAGATTTCAACCAGTCAGTACAATGGAAGACCTTACCTCAAATATCTATGCATGCATACATACATACATACATACATACATACATACGTACATACGAAGGACCCGTGACCATAACAAAAGGTAGCTTATTAGGCAGAAGGTAATTTACTTGTGGAAAACACATAACTTGTCTTTGTGTCCTTTCTATGTGAGTCTGGAAAGGTTCATGTGGACACTTGAAAACAGGCCTGTCCAGGGCACACATCTGTCCCTGCAAGGACACTTGGCTCTGAAGAGCTGATGAGGAAGTAAGTACTCTATAGATGGCAGTAAGCTCTCTGCCCATTCATCCCACACCTTAGGTTAGCTCTTGGCAACTTCCAGTTGGCCTGTTCTTAAGCAGAGGTAGGTTGCCTGAGCATAGGGCTTGTTTCCTCAGGGCCTACCTGCTAACTGCAAGCCATGTGTGCAGGAAGTTTTCGGACGTGGTCATTGGATGATATTGAACCCAACATCCTTTCCATTTTTTCCCTTGTCTTCCCTTGTTCTTCTCCCTCTCCCCTGTCTTCTCCGCTCCTTTCTTTCCTTC